AGAACAATAGCTGTGCACGTGCGTCATAAATCTTTGTACATTTCTTTGCCGTCCTCTGCAAAACAACAACGTGAAATGACTAAGTTCTGCGTATTTTGGGGAACGTGAACGAAAGTGGCTAATTTTTTGTATTTTCATTTGGAATTGAACGCTGGCGTTAAGTATTCAGGTTTAGCAAGTTCTGAGACAAGTAGGCCCACTAATAAATTCACTTTTTACTAGACTTCGTCCTTAGCGTCGCCGTCTTCGTTGCTTAAGCTCCTTAGTATCATGGGCAGCGCGGTTGCGCATGGTATATGGTTCGTTTTACTATGCGGTCCATGTGTTCAGACTCTTGGCAGGGTGTTGGCGAACAAAGGATCGGTAAGTTACATTCTGCTTTGAATTTGTCTTTTCCAAGATAAGTGTAATCGCTTGTAGAAGTATTCACCAGGGTCACAAACGTTTTGGTGTCGTGTCAAGAGGCAGGCAACGTGCGTTTATGAGCTTATCGGCGCTCTCTCTGAAGCATTCCACTTGCTCTCAGTAATTAAACTTACTAGTCAACTACTGTGTTTAAGAACATTTGCCAACAGAGAGACAGTAGTTACCATGATGACAATGCGGATGAAAAAGTTCACCGAAAACAACGCATTTTAAACATTTTTGTCCGATACAATATCCTATTGCATCAAGATGTAAAATGTACAGGTGCTGCAAGTTGTGGTTTTCTTGCACGTTTTTATATGAACTGACACACAGCATGTAGCCTCCCATAGAGCCCTTATTTGGGGAGGAGTGCGTGAGGAGCCCCAAAAACTCATTGTAGGAGGCTTATAATGACTCAATAATGAGAAGGCTATATCTAGCCATCTTGACCTGACAAGCTTGATCAATGTGGATTTATTATTTAGTACAACAAACACCACTTTTCTCGCAGAAGACACTGTGAAAACCGAAGTTGGCAGGATAGTCACCTTTTGACCACTCAGGTGGTCAGTCACAAAGCACAAGATGTGTTCATCTTGCACACTGGTAGATATAGAGTGTATGCATAAAATATTCAATGGTGTGTTTTCTCTAGAGTGGTGATGACAAAAAAGGATCATAACTTGACATGGTGCTGTACGACATCTTTTTGATTCTCACGTTTGGTTTAACCATACCTTTGTCCATTTCCTCATAAAGCTGATCAATGAAAATGTCCAAAGCTTGATGTTCATCCTTGGATATGTCACCAAGGTTTTCAAGATTGTGAACATAGGTACTTAGTGAGCTGCAATTAGAAGTTTTAAAGTGTTAAGTTGAAAGTTAGGTGTGTTATTCATATATAAAAAAGTAATACATGCAACTACCAGCAATATACTAAAATGTTCAAATGTTCAATTGTCCAATTGCAATATGCCAGCAGTAATATGCTCATTGCATTGTGTACATGTGGTCAAGAGAGAAAAAACAGACAAAACAAACATGACATTATGAAGTTTAAGTAACACAAGCTAAGAGAATTATGCCTGATAAAATACCAGGTTTGGGGGCCTCATTTACGGGTAATTCTCATAAAATAGCACAAGACAAAAACAAATAAAAAACAAAGTAAATTAATATGTACCTTGTTCCAATACCTTGTCCATTGGTCCCAATTAATGCCATTAGAGATTGGAACCCCTCAGGCTTAAACCACTAATAAAACAAAAGAAACAAACTTACACAGCCAGCAGTAAATAAAGACAACAATTTACACTCATCGGGCTGGGCAGAAGAGAGGAGATCACTTTCTGTTGTTACATGCAGCAACAGACACTTTGAATTCATATTTCCATC